CCTCTTTGCGACCCTGGCCGCAGCCCGTGACCGACGAGCTACGTCCGCGCAAAGTCAGGTTGTTTCATGTATAATTTTTATTAATCTAAATTTTTATTCTTTATCTAGGAGAGAAATGAAGTGGTTACAGATAATGTAAAGGCTTCTTTGAATAATATGGAAAAAACAGATGTTATTGAAGAAAATGTCACACACGTACAGATTATACGTGATTCGGCGATAGATGACACAATAAATAATACAAAAATAAGTGATGTGGAAAAACAATTTACTCCTTACACATCTGCATCTTCAAACGAATCACAGTCAGATTACGAAACGGCATCGTATAAAGAAGATGATAAAACAAATGATTTAGCTGATAAATTTTTCAAACTAAAGTGCAATCCTGATTTGGAAGTAGAGGGTATAGGCATGTATGCCATGGACGACATTCTTGCTTCTGTTGATAAATTCAAAAGTGATAAATCATTTGAGGACACAGATAAAGATGACGATGATAGTGATAGTGGTTGGATCACACCAGGTAAATTTTATCGGTTATATTTTTATCAAAATTAACGCATAAGTATACATCATTGAAGTATGGATGTGTAATACATTTGTATAATATATTTTTATGAGTATTAATTTTTAATTATTTACCTTTTCGAAAGCAAATGTTTCCAGCATAAAGAAGCACATGGATTCGGAAATTCTTGAAGAAAAGACTGCGACTGTCGCGTGCTTAACCACGGATTTTGCAATGCAAAATGTACTCGTGCAAATGGGATTAAATGTGGTTGCATTAGATGGCAGAGTGATTAAACAGATGCGAACATTCATATTCAGATGTTACGCCTGTTTCAAGACCACTAGTATCATGACAAAGATCTTCTGTCCACATTGTGGTAACAGGACGCTGAAGAAAGTAGAAATCACATTAGACGAGAATGGAAAGCAACAAATTCATATCAATTTTCGACGATCTCTTTCGGCTAAAGGAAAAAGGGTAAATTATATTATTTCTGATACAATCTATAAGTTATATGAATGCAAAAGATAATAAAAGTAAAATTAATGAAATATTTCAGTTCTCATTACCAACGCCGAAAGGTGGGAAACATGCTAACAATCCCATTTTATGCGCGGATCAACCAATGCCGAAACAACGCCCGTCACGTTTGGCGCGTATAAAGAACGATCCGCTCGACGATGATTATGTAGTTGGGTATTCTCCATTTGTTATGCGTGATATAAATTCGAAGTCAGCTATGCTGGGCATAAGACCGGATGGTATTGTCAAATACTGGATGAAAAGAAATCCTAATGAATCCAAAAAAAGACGAAAATAAAAACTGTTTATTATTAAATCAACATTATTATTCTGGAGCTTTATGAATCCTTCATTATTATATTATGTAACCGTACTCGCGAGCAACGGCACAACTTCGTCGCGTGTTCTTCGTTCTCCTCTTACACAAAAGTGTCTCTTTCCTCTCGGTAACCAAATTTTGCGACAGCTAGGCGGATGATCGGCCAAGATCGTAATTGTTATTACGGAGTTGGGCGCCAGGCACGAGAGAGCGTGCCACTCTTTCCGAAATCTCCTTACTTTTGCCCGTTGGCAGGGGTGGGTCGCAAGAGGTGTGGGAAATTTGTCGGAGGGCGAGAGAGATAGGCTACAAGAATAACATACGCGAGGATGTAATAATAAAAACAAATATATTTGGAAAAAGATGATAAAGTAAGACTAATGACATCGGCGACGTAATTACAAGTAATCTCCGGAGCTTCGCTCCTTTGCGCTACTCTATATTCTCGGTACTCGCATAGAGTCGCCAACTTACCTCTAGCGCCGAACGCCGGTCATACGCTACAGCACGAGCCCCTCGGTTCCCCGCGGTAACTTCCGACGGTGTCAAACGCCCTTCTCAACCGGTAAGAACTCGTACCCGCTGTACCACCAGCCTCCAGACACGCAACGCCAGCACGACGAAAGTGCAGCGCGATTACAACAAGCGTCTCTATGCGGCACGACTTTGCACGACCGCGCGAATTCCAGAAACTGGCTATTCGAGACGCAACAACCGGGAGTCAACTCTGCTCGACGACGCAGCAGTAAGCGTTCCAACACAACAGTACGTGATTCGATAACACACTTACAGCAAGCGTTTCTACGCGACACAACGATGCACGACAACGCGACTACAATAGGCGTTTTTACGCGATCTGACCATTTACGACAATACACGACAACACGAAAACTTACAACTAATGACTCATCTGTGGCCAGGGGGGCGACCGCGACTCGGCCCTCGATAATCTCTACACGACTCTAATTCTCCAAATGCGACAACCAAAGATCTCCCCTCGACTCAACTCTCGAAACGCGACAACTAAACATTTCCACTGCCCGGGAGGATGGCACGTGGCTCGCGATTCTGCGGCTCTACACGCGGCCATTACGCCGGTCTATTTTCACGATGCGAGCTTGCTTACATGCGATCCACCCGGCAACGTACCCCGGTCGGCAGCTTTACACGCGCAACGCTCGTCTCACCCTCGACGTCCTGGTCCTCGCGTGTCCTCACGACATTCTCTTTCCCGCAGCTCTCGGCAGTCCGGCTCTCAGGTTCGCGTTCTCTGTCGGTAGCAGCCTCGTACTTCCCTTACATCTCCTAGGCTCGACCACAGTAAGAGTGAGTCCCGGCGGATTCTCGCAGACTGCTTAGCTTCCCCTCTCATTCGGGGGGAGGTAGTCACGCTGATTGGCTTCCGCGTGTCACGGTATCCGCGCGTGCCGTGCAGGCCCGCGCGGCCTTGAGTTCTGGCTCGTGCAAGCGCGCAATAGATGTCCCTGTCAAGGGTGGCGTCTCTGCTTACGGCCCCCGCACCTCCTGGCCTGGCGGGGGAGATCGGGATGGATTTTCCTCGCTCCTCGTCGGGGCCCTATGCTCCCGACGGACGTCCGTCCGGCCCCTCAAGGGTGGCCGGGAATTCTGGCCTCCTCCGGTGCTCTGCAAGGGGTGTATGGTGAAAGTATTGTTTCTTTCGTATGCGACAGCGGTTACGAGCAATGATATAAAATACTACATGGGCTGAAAAGTCCCGAGATTTTTCAATAGGTGGCGCCACTGGAAAATGAACATGATTCATTTCGAGAGGCTCATCTGTCACTAGTTTATGTATGAAATTTCATGACATTTCGTCCGTTCGTTTACAAGCTACAGTCGTTTGAATGACGCTACTTTCGCCTTCGTAAAAAAATGGAAAAACAGGAATATCGTATTTTGATCAAATATTGTTTTTTGATGGGTAAAACTTCTGAACAATCATTGCAATGGTTGTAGGAATGTTATCCCACATCTGCTCCTTCGAGAACAACAGTTTATCTGTGGTTTAGTGAATTTAAAATGGGTCGTACAAGCTCCGAAGACGCACCTCGCTCTGGAAGGCCAAAAGAGACTACGAATGCGGAAATCGTAAATCGAGTGCATCGAATCGTTTTGAGTGATCGTAAAGTGAAGTTGCGCGAGTTAGCTGAGGCCGTGGGCATCTCAAAAGAACGGGCGGGATACATTTTGCACGATCTTTTAGAGATGAAAAAGCTATCGGCGCGATGAGTGCCGCGTTTGCTGACCGACCAAAAACAGTAGCGCGTTGATGATTCAACGGCCGGTTTGCAGCGTAATCGAGCGGACTTTTCGACGTTTTGTGACGATGGATGAAACGTGGATCCATTACCATAGGCCTGAGTCCAATAGGCAGTCTGCAGAGTGGCTGGAAAGCCACGAAAGCCGACCAAAGCGGCCAAAAGACCAACGCTCGGCCGGGAAGGTTATGATCTCCGTTTTTTGGGATGCGCATGGCATAATCTTCATCGATTACCTGCAGAAGGGAAGAACAATTACGGGAGAGTATTATGCAGTGTTATTGGACAAACTGAATGACGAAATAAAGAAAAAACGCCCCATATGGCGAAGAAAAAAGTTCTGTACCATCACGATAACGCACCGTCACACACGTCCTTGAAAACGATGGCCAAATTGGACCAATTACGATTCGAATTGGTTGCTTACCCA